GAGAGAGAGAGAGAGAGAGAGAGAGAGAGAGAGAGAGAGAGAGAGAGAGAGAGAGAGAGAGAGAGAGAGCACCCCTTGTTCCCTGTTTTTCATAGAGCGCAGAGCACTGACATCGAATATGGATGTAGATTTGCTTACCTAAAATTGAAGCGGTTAAATCCGCGATGTTTTTCACGAGCCCGCGATCTTTGCTCTGATGTAATAACGTTGCAAACACGACGTGTGCACGCATTCCTGCTCCCCGTGGGACCCACCATGACAAACACCCGTCACTGTTTACGGCCGGCGCCGGAATTTACGAAAGGTACGGGTAACGAACTGCGGCGCGTGTTGTTACAAGCTTAATACGCAATTCACATCTAATCCTTTAAAAGAGCTTTCAGACAGACACCCGCGCCACCTCATTCTTTCTCACTCAGTTCTTTTCTCGCTCAGTTCTTTTCTCGCTTACTTAGTGGTTAAATCAGGAAGCAACCGCTAACATGCAGCAAAGACGTGTCTCGCTTCGGGGGCAGTCGGAGGTTTTACAATAGTCGATATTGACGATCCCCGTTAGCTTTCAATAAGTGTCCGAGAACTAACCACATCACTAATCGAACAGCTTGGTTTTTCTAACAGATTTGCGCGTGCTTGAGAGCTAATGACTGACAAGATCCTTAAATAAATCGTAAAGCTCAGCGTGCGTGCGTGTTTAACCTGCTTAGGCTCGCGCAGGAAGGAAGAAGACGTTCTCAGATATCGCACAAGATAAGCAAATTAGACTATTCGCGAATTCCTCTACACGGCGAACCAGTTGGAATAACATCTGTAAAAATTATTAGCAGGCATCGTTTTTGTATCGTGTCGGAACAGCGAAAAAAACGAATAAGCGCGAAGCCATCACGCTAATGCCAAGCTTACAGCATGCCTTCACACTTTATGACTCTCGCAAGCATGAGAAAACAACTCTCGCACACACACGCACACACACGCCCGCACGCGCGCATGAACGTACTCTCACGCACCACCCACGTGCTTGTGCACGCGTACCACACGTTCGCACGCGCGCATGCATATACTTACACGCTCGTACTCGTACACGGCATTTTCGCGCACATGCACGCATACACACACACACACACACACACACACACACACACA